GACTAAAGCTAGGCCTCTGGACTCTACTTGGACTCCTACCTTACAGGTCTACAGTTCGAATCTCCCTACAGCCTACAACCTACGGCGACCTACTTACCACTGGCTATCGTGCAGGTCACGGGTTCAACTCCAGGGAACCGTGCAGATACTGTACACAGGTAAGCTGAGGTCAAGGGATCGACCCCTGGGATCTGCATCGGCTACTGCCAAAGGTGAAAACTGTTTCACTTCGGTGGCAGACGCATATGTGGGCACTTGGCGCTGAACCACACAAACGTGGCCAACCTTGCATCTTCTGTTATATTATCGATCTAGTATCTATACTTTTTCATTATGGATGGTTTGTTATGATTTGTGGAGGAAATGAGAGGGAGAATTTGGCGTGCTTTAACAACACGCACACGCACACACACAGACATTCAATTTGAGTTTTTGACCTAGTGTGGCCATGGCGGAATATTGTATGATATATTGAATACGACGCAGCTTGGTACGATTGTGTACAAAACTATACTAATTACAAACACCTTGTAGAATCTGATTAATTCTTTTAAGAATCTTTTTGGAGTATCCAAGTTCACCCAGGCCAATTTGGCATGTGGTTACCTGCTTGATCACAAAATCCCAATCTACTCAGGTTTTTTTTTTTCTTCTTCTTTTTTTTTTCTTTTTTACTCAGGGTTTTTATTATATCAGAGATAGGTGCTTCCATTGTAATATTGGTTTTTCCAAGACTGATAAGTGTAGACAAGAATTTAACTTTTTGTGGTGGCGTTGTTGGTCGTTGCGGAGCGCTCTAAAAAAATGTTTTTAGACCATTGGCTTTTTGTTAGTGGTGTTATGATCCTGGCCAATTTCGAGATACGCATTCACCAGAAAGTACAATGCCGTCCGCTTGCAAAAAGTAATGAATGAAGTTGAGAGGAGAGAGAGGGCTAGGAGAAGAAGAAGAAGAAAGAAAGAAGAAGAAGATGATGTACACCAGCATATACCAATGAGAAAGCTCTTCTTCTTCGCCAATCACTCTCCTCCTCCTTATCTCCTCCTCTCTTATTCACACAAGAAATAATAATACAATGTTGAATGGCTGAACCAGAATCAATGTCCAAGTCCCTCTTCTACTGCAGGTATCACTTGAGGTCCACCATAGCCATGGCCGCCTCTCTTCCTCTTCATCCTCATAGGCCGAGGCTATGGCGGACTACCAGGGCATGGCCCTGCTGACCAAAGGACAACACACAGCAGCTATGGCTGCTCTAGCTTTGCCCCAACGGGCCTTCCTGCTGCAGCGCCCACCAAGGTGACGAAGATGGATGCCACCATAGCCAGTTAAGTACCTCTGGCACTCTTCCCTAGCCCTGGTCTTCTTCCTCCTCTGTGTCCTTGCTCCTTCCCCAGAAGCGCTGCTGAATGCTAGTGCTGCTCCAGCCAGCGCTCCAACCAGTGTGTCGCCAAACTTGCACACCGACAATGAGAACTCAGTAGCAAGCGGGAAACTCAGCAAAGCATTCAGTCCATGAGCAAAACTCAGAAATCAGCTGTGTGTCTCAGTCTGTGTTCAGTCGGGTCATTGCAGTGGAGCCTTTTGTGTTATGCTGTTTTGTGGTTTTGTGGGCCGACATGGAGGAACCTATGGCGGATGGGGTTGGTGCTTTCTTGTTGGTGGAGTCCTCTGTCTTAGGTAAGTTGCTTCTTGGCCTCCACCCTTTTATGGATCAAATAATATGTGCAAGTGTGCCACTTTGGCGGCAGACGGGTGTGTGGGCGTTTCGTGCTGAACCACACAAACGTGGCCAAACTTGCATTTTCTATTATGTTGTCTATCTATATTTTTTGTTATGGATGGTTTGTTATGATTTGTGGAGGAAATGGGAGAGAGAATCTGGAGTGCTTTAACAACACACACACACACACACACACACACACACACACACACACACACACACACACACACACACACACACACACACAGACAGTTTGTGTTGGGATCAGGCCATTACGCTCTTCAATAAGGTTGCAGAGAACATTTATATTGCTTTCGATGCTTTAATGATGCTTACATATAGTCGATTTCTTTGCATCTCGTTGTGTTTCTCCTTGTGCAGAGCGGGACCGCATGTACAACAGACGGTTGGGTGACAGAAAGTTGACGTTGTGTTGCATTGGCATAGTTGTGGTCGCCACGTTGGTTTGCGGGACAACGAGGCTATAGAGAAGACTGGTAGGCCAGCAAGTGCAGGTTGTTCTTTCATTATCTGAGTGAAATAGGTTTGTGCATGATTGTGGTGCAAGTGAGTGCCTGCAATGGAGTATGCGTACCCGCCCCAGATGGTACATGGTGAGCATGTCACCCTTGTGGACCGAGTAGTGGAGTTTCGCAGATGCAGAGATGTGCCTTTCTTGATCTTATTTGTTGCCTTCTGTGCTGGCATGCTAGTAGTAGCCTCCATTGGCTATAGCCAGGGAAAACCTCAAAGGCTTCTGTATGGGCTGGATTACAAGGGTAATTTATGCGGTTCAAAGGATGCATCCCCAAGTCTGAAAGGGTTCAATGTCAGGTATTGGATCAATCCGAGGCAGATGATAGAGAGTGCGGACCCAATTCTCTCACTGAGCTTGCGCGATGCCCGCGCAATTTGCCTCAAGGACTGTCCCGAGGTCGGTGGACGCAATGACACAGTGGCGTGGGTGTGTGATTACCCTGAAGTAAGTCAGACCAACTCCTCACATCCTCTGCATCAACTAAGCATGGACGATTGGTTTAATCGGACATACGACTACTATGCTTTGCTGGACGAAGAGCAGCAGCAATCGTCCCTTGATCTTCGTGGACCGTGTTACCCGGTCCTGATCAGGACCAAATCCGTCTTCTGGAGCTGTCAACCTGACGACAATGTAAGCAGCGAGGCATACAAGATATGGAATGCGATTGGAGGGGCCAATATCACTCTCCAAGACGTACCGATATGGTCGTCGGTCAGCCGGTTCCTCAGCTCGCCCGCAGCTGTCTTAGAACGATATGTAGCGGATCTCGGCAAAGCATGGCCGGTGCTGATCGTTTGCGCCTCAATTATTCCTTTCATCTTATCATTTACATGGCTTGTTTGCGTCCGATTCTTCACAAGGATAACTGTCTGGTCGACAATCATACTGGTGAATGGTGTAGGTCTCCTTGTTGTTCTGTTGTTCTATGCAAAAGGGGGATGGTTGGATCAGAATGCAGTGGAAGCAGTTGTGGGAGATGACGGAGCTGCACAGGTTCTTGGGTTCACAGGACAACAGCCTGAGCGCAAAGATCTGCGAATCATGGCCGTAATCTTGACAGTGCTTCTTGGCATACTCTTTGTCTTCACGATGGTCATGATTCGACATCTGCACTTCGCAGTCGCCATCCTCAAGGAAGCATCGCGGGCTATGGCCGCCATTCCTTCCCTTCTTGTTTTCCCCTTCTTTCCCGTCGTAATCACGGTGTTGTTCGGAATCTTCTGGGTCTCCGTCGCGCTTTCCCTGTTCAGCGGAGGCGATGTCAAGCAACGCTTGTGCACCTACTCTGGAGAGTGCTGCGCCTATAGTGTCCCCCAGCTCGAGACCGTTTGCGGCCCTGAGAACTGTTGTGGATACGAGATCAAGTATAACACCCGACTCAAGTGGGCTATGGTCTACCATATCTTCGGTTGCTTCTGGATCTTGCAGTTCATTGTTGCTTGTTCCTTAACGATCATCGCTGGGGCAGTTGCAAGCTTTTATTGGTGCCACAGTGACCATTCCACACTGCCCTACCATCAAGTTACCAAGGCGACACGGCGGACGTTTTTCTATAGCTTGGGTTCGATCGCTCTTGGCTCCCTCATCGTCGCCGTCGTGGAGATGATCCGGTGGGTTTGTGACTACATTCGTAGAAAGCTGCTGTCGGATGACAATAGTCTAATCCGGTATGTATGTTGCTGCACAGAGTGTTGCATAGTGTGCCTCGATTACATTGTGAAGTTTGTGAGCAGGAATGCATACATCATGATTGCGATCAAAGGGTACAGCTTTTGTGAGGCAGCAGCAAAAGCCTCGGTGCTTATAGTAAACAACATTCTGCGAGTGGCAGCAGTCAATGTAATTGGCGATTTCATACTGTTTCTGGGGAAGATCTTAGTCAGCTTGGGATGTGCGTTCTTCGCCTTCCTGATGCTGGAAGATAACAGGTACCATGAGGGGAGGTACAAGATCACCAGTCCTCTTGCACCCGTTCTCTTCTGTATGGGGGTAGGCTACATTGTCGCCTACATCTTTTTTGGAGTTGTGGAGATGGCGGTGGACACAATACTGCTTTCATTTTGTGAGGACTGTGAAGAAAACAATGGAATTCCACGCTTTGCCCCTATGCGCTTAGTCCAGGCTCTCCGCGCAGCGCAAGAGGAGCATGAAGAACGCATTGCAGAGAGGGAGCGGAGGCAGAGGAGGAAAGAAGCCGAGTCTCGCATTCTGGCAATGCCTGTTCCTCATATTCCCCGATGAACCAGTCTTCTTCCTTTTTTTCTGCGCTGCTTCTGTCTTGTCTCCCCCACCCCCTCCTCCTACGCCTCTTTCTTCTTCTTCTTCTTCTTCTTCTTCTTCTTCTTCTTCTTCTTCTTCTTCTTCTTCTGATGCTGCTGCTGCTGCTGCTTCCGTTTATGTCTTCTTCTGCTGCTGCGTCTGTCTTCTTCTTCTTCTTCTTCTTCTTCTTCTTCTTCTTCTTCTTATGTTTATTCTTCTGTGTTTGCCTCTTTGCGTTGATTGCACAATCTCCTGTTTTTAACCTGCCAAATAGCTTTTGGCACACATTGCCTCACAATTTTGCGCAGCTGCCAACCCCTGTGGTGCTTTGAACGGCTTTCTATTTTTAGAATGCTTCCGCGCTGGGGGAAGGAGTGATTTTGGAGGGAGTAATTTGGGGCAGAGCTTTGTTTGAAGATCAGTTTAGACTGTAGAGCCTTTGGACTTCTCGACTTGTGTTATGTGCTTTGTGTTTGTATGTATTGTGTGTGTGCATCCGCTCGTCCACACCTGTGTGGAAGTTAACAGAACTCCATAGACCGTTAGCAGTACAAGGGGAAAGAGCGGTAGTGCTTGCCTCCTTGTTATGTATATGCCACAGTTATTGCACTTGAAAGTAGCAGAAGCTTCACATTGCCCGTAAATAGAATTAATTCTTTTTCTCAAGCCAAGCCAACCAAATCCCCAGTGCTGATCGCACTCCTCCTGAGATGGCACATCATCAACATTGGCATAGCCAACATCGTCATCACCGTCATCATCGTCGTCATTGTCATCGTTGTCAAGCGTGCACACAAGATCACTTCTGTCAGTATGCTTGATTTCTCCTTTAAGAAGACAATATTTACGCTGTTACGGCTGATGACCAAACAAATTATCATCAAAATGCTGGTACGATGAGAAAGAAATGGGTAAGATGCCTTACTCATCAGATAGTGCGATGGCATAGTAGCTTTACTCTCACCGTGCATACAACAATGCACATTTTTGAAACCGCGACCAGTGTGTATCACCCTTCTGCCTATCACTGCTCAAGAGAGAAAGATGGTTTCTATGCGCTTGTTCCAATGCAGACCTTTTGTATGGTGTGATCACCAAGAAATGCTTTTCTCATATGCTCATGTATGTGGGCATGCTTCCGTGTAGGTGCATGTCCATGTGTGTGTGTGTGTGTGTGTGTGTGTGTGTGTGTGTGTGTGTGTGTGTGTGTGTGTGTGTGTGTGTGCAGTGAGTGTGTGTGTTTGTACAGGCTTTGCATGAGGATGTTTCCTAAGTACTTGAAAGGATGCACCCCTTTCATATACTGTGATCAGCAAGAAATGCTCAACTTTGCGAATATGCTCACTGGTATGGGCTTGCGTCTGTGTGTGTGCATGTGCATACGCGCAAACTCAAGGTTGCGCAAACTCGAGTTTTTATGTGTATGTTTATGTGTATCTATATGGCGTATTATAGTTTATATTACTTAAAAATGATTTATAATTGTTTCATAAAATATTGTAATTATTTTCATAACTTTTATTACTAACTAGTAACTATATAATGATAAGATTTGTAATGACCCGCCAAAAGACAGACTGAGAACACTGCTGATTTCTGAGTTTTGCTGCTGGAATGGATGCCTCGCTGAGATTCCCACATTCTCCTGAGTTTTCTAAATATGTGTGTGTGTGTGCTTGATGGTCTGCTTGCCTGTCTGAGTGTTTGTCGGCCTGACTGTTTGTGTGACCCGCAAGGGTACTTGCTTGTTTGGGAGGCCCGTAGGGCCGGTACTTACCTGTGGCCTTGACATTGAGGGTTGCAGCGGGGGAAAACACTCAAGTGGCGGGGCAAGAGGCCCACAACACGGAAAAACGCTCAAGTAGCAGGTAGGCCGGTACCACACCAAGTAGAAGTAGATGTGTCGGGTACTCCAGGCCGAGCAGAAGAAGACAAAAGTTGGCATTTTTAGAGGCCCAGTAGTTGCATGCTAGGTCTAGGCAGGTACCAGTCCAACCAGTCTGAGTCTAGGGCCTGAACAGGCAATATCAGAGTCTGCAAATATGTTTCCCTCCGAAAGCGAGGAGATGCCGGTTGCTTGGAGGCCGCGCGGCCTAGGAAGTCACCTCCCAAGAGGCAAGTAGGCCACTATATCTCCAGGAGGAGCGAAGTGCTCCGCATTTGCAGTATGCAAGTTTGAATGTTGTGATGCTTGAGCGAGCACCAGCCTTCAGAGTGCTGGAGCAGGGAGGAGCGCTGGGCAGAACAGCGCTAGGAGGAAGAAAGAGACCGGGAGCTCCCACCTCGGCCATGGTAGAGCTCTACTGGTAGGAGGAGGAAGAAGGGGGCTAGGGAGGAAAGTGGCGAGGTACCTACCTGGCTATGGTGGGCACCATCTTCATCACCTTCTTAGGCGCTGCATCTGGAAGGCCAAAGTCGGGGTTGCACCGCACCAAGAAGGCTTCAAGGCAGAGTCAAGCATGGGCGCCTGAACAGCAGTGAGCATAGCTGCTTTGTATTGTCCTTTGCACAGCAGGGCGAGGCCCTACTAGTGCCTGCACGGACATTGATTTGGTTCATCCATACAACATTATTACTGGTATCTATTGTTTGAATAAGAGGGGAGGAGAAAAGGAGGATGAGAGTGGTTGGCGAGAAGAAGGGAATTATCATTGGTCTTTGCTGGTGTACATCTTCTTCTTCTTCTTTCTTTCATCTTCTTCTTCTTCTTCTTTCCCTCTCTCTCCTCTCAAGTTCATTCATTTCTTTTTGCAATTGGATGGAATCGTACTTTCTCATGGCCAGGATCGTAACATTGGTATCAGAGCAGATTCTACTTGCTGGCGAGAGTTAACTTTGCCGCCAGTTGTTGGTGCCCTTCACTGTCGCCTCTCTCAAATTGTCGTGGACACCTAAAATACCCTTGCTAGCGAGAGTTAACTTTGCCGCCAGTTGTTGGTGCCCTTCACTGTCGCCTTTCTCAAATTGTCGTGGACACCTAAAATACCCTTGCTGAGTCCTAAACCCTTTTCTGGCGGCAAGAAGAAGGAAGAGGACCTTCATACTTGGGTGAGGATTATGCCTGCGTATGTAAGGCACAAGCTCACAAAGACCAAGGAAGAGTTTATTGTCGTTGCATTCTTCCTAGAAGGATCTGCAGCCAGATGGTTGAACGGAGTCGTACAACAGCAAGGATACGGTTAGAACTTCGATGGTCGGGCACAGGCCTGCACATTGGAGGAGTTTGTACTGATGGACTACAACAGGTGGCATGACCCTAAAGGACTGATGGACTACAACAGGTGGCATGACCCTAAAGGGGCTGAGAAGGTCACAGACTCGTTAGCCAATCTGGGATCGAAGAGATACTGGACAGTCTTCGAGGTGACAGACATCGTAGAGCGACTAATTGTTGTTCCTGGCATGCAGTACGAACCGCAGGTACTCCTCACAACTTATTTGGGATGTCTGCCCACACATGTAAAAAATAAGTTGGTCGATGAGGCCTCCATAGATGTGCATAACTTCGCCTCATTTAACAATAAAGCCCTAGACATAGAGGCTAAGCTTGGGAGTGCCCAGCAGGGACCAGGTGATGGAAGAAAGAAGAAGCTTCCTCATGATTGGAGGAAGAAGGGCAATCTCATGTTCATTGACCACGATGGCCAAACGACTGAGATTGACGACTTCTTTGACTTTGGGGAAGAGACAAAGCTAGATGGGAGTGGGGAGACTTCCAATGGTGGAGTAGCCGCGCCCATTAGAGAAAAGGTTAAGGAGGTCGGGAAACAGAAGGTAGGCTGGCCCAAAGGTGAAACTGATCCAGGATCACCCATATAGGTGCAACTTGGTTTGGAGTACGAGGTGTGGCGGGACCGTGTTGTGCGAGGCGCTTGTTTCAACTGTGGCCAGTATGGGCACACAATGAGCAAGTGCAATAGTAAGCGGTTCGCTGGGAAGGTCACATCCTCGATTGTGACGGTTGGATCTTCCAACTCTGGTGGTGCTTCTACGAGCACTTCCCAGGGGGACACCTCAAGGACATAGTCTGTACCTTCTCCTATGGAGGAGGGGAACTGAGACACAAGATCTCATTCCTGGTGAGCGACGAGTTGCCATTCGATATGTTGTTAGGCATGTACTACCTCAAGGTTGCTAAGCCTCGGTTCAATTAAGATAGGAAGGTGATGATCCCCAAGTTGCCAGATGGAAAGACCGTTAGTCAAGGCTAGCAGACTAGTGGAAAACTATGGTTGCATGTGCGCATCGTCTTTCTATAACTATTACAAGCAGAATCGCGAGGAAGATATGTGCCTAGTCTTTGTCTCTAAGAAAGGGGAGGCCGTAAAATCACCCCCAAAGATAGAAGAAGTCATTGCGTAATATTCAAACCTCTTCAAGGAGCCTAGGGGTGTGGTAGAAAGGGACATTGTCCACGCGATTGAAGTCATCCCCGGTAGCAAGGTACCTAGAGGACAAATCTATAGGATGTCTCCTGCGGAGTTGGACGAGCTCCGCCGCCAACTCAAGGAGCTCACAAAGAACGGCTGGATTCGGCCAAGTACGTCCCCCTACGGAGCGACAGTCCTATTTGTCCCAAAGAAAGGGGGCACTCTAAGGATGTGCATTGACTATAGGGGCCTTAATGCCATCACTATTAAGAACGCCGAGCCCCTACCTTGTATTGACGACCTCTTGGATAGAGTGCAGGGATGCCAGTACTTCACAAAGATAGATCTCAAGTCCAGATACCATCAGATTGCCATTAGACATGAGGATCAAAACAAAACCGCTTTCCAGGCGAGGTACGGTCTATACGAGTTTGTAGTGATGCCCTTTGGCCTATGCAATGCTCCTAGGACGTTCCAGCACGCAATGAATCGGATCTTTAATGACTACCTAGACAAGTTTATTGTCGTGTACCTCGACAATATCCTTACATTTAGTAGGACTGTAGAGGAGCACGCTGAGCACGCGAAAACAGTGTTAGGTCTCCTAAGACAGCACCAGTACAAGGTCAACTTGGAGAAATGCGAGTTTGGTCACACCAAGATTTTGTATCTAGGTCATGAGATTTCTGCGGATGGATTGAGGCTGGGTGATGCCAAAGTGGCCAGCATACGTGACTGACCCAGACCTTAGTCTGCGACTGAGGTGAGGTCATTTTTTGGGATGACGGGCTACTACCGCCCGTTTGTGAAAAACTATAGTACTACAGTCTCACCTCGAATTGATCTCACATGCTTTGACACCCCATGGGAGTGGACCGAAGAGTGTGAGGCAGCCTTCAAGAGATTGTATCAGCGGAGTGGCAAAGGTGGAAAATGCAACCACGTTGGGCGAGAACTTTCCATTTAGGGTTGAGACCCAGCCTTCAATATGGCGTGCGTCGAGGCCCAGCCGCAAATCGGGCGAGCACTTTCCATTTAGGAAAGAGCTCGCCAAGTAGAGGACATCCGGGCACTGGGTTGTGCAAGCGGCAGCGCTGCTGGAGCGAAATGCCGGGCGCGCGCGGGCATTGAGGAAGAAGGCAAGCCGCTGCTGAGGGCTGCGCCATTGCCAGCCCTAAGTAGCCAGGGCTCGGCTTGGATAGCCAGGGGAGGTGGTGGTGGTCTTCGTGCATGGGAAGGAAGATGTGGGCAGACAAGACGAGAGAGAGAGAGAGAGAGAGAGAGAGAGAGAGAGAGAGAGAGAGAGAGAGAGAGAGATGAGGATGAGGATGTTAAGGCACGTACCTGGTCTTGGCGATGGTCTACAGGGCCGACATCTTCATGTACTTCGGTTGCTGCTGCTGACGTCAACAGGTTGCATTGTCAATTCGTAGGCTGGTAATAGCTGTGCGATTGTCATCTGGGCGCTGAGCGCCAAGTAGGAAGAAGGTCTCTACATACATCTGTTGGTGGTGGCGA